AACAGTACAAAAGAAATTTCATTGATCATGCAAAGTCAAAGTACAAAAAGGGGACTTCAGCCCGGTTACCATTTCTTGTCCAAAAAAAAAAAAACAAAAAAAAAATACAAAGTCAGGCAAATAGGTCATCAAGATCAGCATCTAGTTCAACTCGGAGCCCGGTTTCAGTCAAGAGCACGGTTTCGGTCGGAGGCACGATTTCAGTGGGTTGCTCGTTGGTCAAGTCTTCCACCGTTGGCTTTGCCCGAGCTGACTGATCGACGGGATCATTGACGACCGGGGTATCGATGGGCACGGTTTCTTCTTCATCATCTGAAGCTTCGAGAAATTGTTGCTGAGTGGTGGCAGCATACTCCGCAAGTGAGCTTGGTATGAAGTATCGAGGAGGATTGAAGACCTCGGTCTCAGGCCTATGACCGAGCTGCACCACAGCACTCCTCCACCCGCACTTAAAGAAGAGGTCCTTTGCAGCTTCACACTGCTTAATGTACAGGGCTTCACCTTCTTTAAAGCCACGGTCTTCCGCATCTTCTAGCTTCTTCTCAAGCTTTTTCCCTTCAAGCTTGGCTAGCTCGCGCAAATATTTGTCTTTTATCACGGCTGCAGCCTTTTGTTTGTCCACCTCAGCCAAGCTAACAAGACCGGACAGACGACCATTCTCGGTTCGTAGCTCGGCCAGGTGCTTCCTGGCCTCTTCTAGCTCGGCGGTTTTTTCAATTACTTTGGCCATAGTCTGCCTTGTTGTTTTACGAAGCTCCAACACTCGCTTATAAGCGATATGGTTCTTCAGTATGGCCTACAAAGGGATGGAAAGAAACTTTTTTTACATACGACCGAGCAGAAAGTTGTTAGAATTTGAAAGATAAGCAAGAGAGCTATTTACCAGCACCATGGATTTTGTGGATGAGCGAAGTGCCTTTAGCTCGGTTAGGTGGTTGTGGTGCTCCATGTCAGGTGGAAGGCAAACACTTTTGGCCAGATTAAAGGTCATTAGGTGATCTTTTTCAGCGACCACCGAGTCTGTATCCCGTATAGCACGGTTCTGAAAAGTGATTTTTGGAGCCCATTTTGAAAAGTTAGCTCGGTCAGAGCGCTCCGGTTGTGGGCTTCGTAGAGGGCTTGGTGGATGAATGGTATCCTCTTCATCAACAAAGCGTGGCTCGATCGTGGAAGTCCGAGCACGCTTGTTTGGACGAGATGAAGAGGGTTGATGGGTCGGTAAGGCCACCACAGTCTTTTGGGGTAGGCTTGTTGGCGGTACCTCGACTTGGTTTGTTTCGGTCAAAAGGGCCCTCACAGCTCATTTTTTGGCCATCTCTTGCTCAGCAGTTAAAGGGATCAATCTGATTTGAGGCAAGTTTGGGTCCGGTTCATGAGAGGCTTCCACTAAGAAATCAGTTACCTTGGTCTTCCGTTTGCTACTATATCGGTAGGTTGGTTGAAAGTCCAGTAGCTCAGTCCAACTTCGGTTTGGATATCGCAGGGCGGCGCGAAGTATATTCAAGTTAGGGTAGCTATATTGGGACTCGAGGAAGTTCGAATCTGCATAAAAAAGACAAACAGTTAGTACGGTTTAAGATGAGAAAATCGAAATAAAGAAAGGTATAGTATGAGGCCGAAGTAACTCTACCGACTATACCCTTGTTCCAATTTATTCTGTCACCAGGGATCTGGGCCTGTTGGTTCTCAAAATTTCCAGATACCCAAAGGAAGTCATCATCATTTACGTCTTTATCCGGGGTATCCTTTATTATTTTTTCACGCCGGCGTCTTATTCTTAAATAATAGACCCATCCATCTTCGGCGGAGCCTATAGAATATTGATGGAATAGCTTGGCTAAACCGAGATTAAGGCCAGCCTGGCGGTTTAGCTCGGCAATACCATTTATTATACAATAATAATTTGTGGAAAGTTGGGTTGGGCAAAGGTTGGTCTGCCTAAGGAATTCACAGAGGAGAGGCTGTACAGGGAATCTTAGTCCGATCTCCACTATGGACAGCAGGGTAAAGGGAACGAAGCCGTGTTTTCCCCATGGTATGATATCCAGGTCGGTTAGGGAGAGATGGACATCATCAGGGATGTTATAATCTTTTCGGAATTCGGCCATGGCGCCTGGTGAGTTAACTAAGAACCTATACTTTCCCATTTATGGTTTAAGTTATGAATAAATTAAACTGGAGTGTTAGTTCGGTCGAAGAGTGATGCTGAGTAGCTCGGTCGAGTGCTCAAAGGAGTGCCTGGACAACCTAAGTCTGCAAAGTGAAAAACAAAGGTGTTAAGCACAGATCGATTGGACCGTGCTAAAAGAAACAAAGGCAAGATAATTGAAGACCTAGCACGGCTATGTGAAATGCTATGGATCTTAGCTCGGTTTGAGCAAGTTGTTTGTTAGTGCGGTTGAGCCTCTAGGGACAGCGTTCTTAGTTTAGTCTGAACTAAGAGGGCTGGTTTAGCCCCAAGCTATAGCTCGGTCATGGTTAAGGCATTCAAGCGCGGTATTGCGCAAGCTTAGTACGATTCGATAACTCAGCTGAGTGAATCAGAAGGTATTTGAGACCTATTGAAACTACGAGTAGGATATGAAGTTTTAGGCCTGTTGTTTAGTTCGGCCAGGGTCGTACCTAATACAAACAGTATCCTAGCTCGGTTGGAGTGTGATTTTGGATCAAATGCAGTGTTTCTCAAGTTATTCGTGACATACGAGTGGTTCTATTACTTGGTGCTTCCCAGAAAAATGGAAGCAAACATGGTATGTATTTTGAAAAACACGTGAATACTAAACTATGTATTGCAAAAACAGTGCGAAATAAATGAAAAAGAAACAGATTCGAACCACTTACCAATTCAAGATGGAAGAACTGAAGCAAGGAGTGATGGCAGCAAGAACGCAAGTTTTGCAGGCACTGTGTTTGAGAAAAGAGAAAGCTCAGAGAAGAGAGTAAGAAGAAGGTGAATAGTGCAAGTGAAATGATTCAAAAACAAAGGGTTTGGTTTTGTGGAAAGAGAGAGAGAAATGGTGGGACTGTTCAAAAAACACGAGATACGAAGACGGCGTGACAGATACGCATGGCCAATGAGAGTTTGCCACATGTCCATGGAATGGAAATCGATTCAGTTACAGCGATTGAAGAGACGTTTTTGACCGGACAGATAGAGCCCGGTGTGAATTTAACTCGGCTGTAAAGTTAAAGAATTTAGCTCGGTTAGTAGGCTAAAGCTTTTTTTTAGCTCAGCTGGTAAAAAGGTAATCCCTATTATGCTATATAGATGGAATTAAGGGGCAATTGAGAGGGTAATTTATATATAAATTGGGCCGAGCTGGGTAATGGGCCACTGTGGGCCACAGTAAAAAGGGCGGAGTAAAAGGGTCTTGGCGTTAGCCCGGTCCAAGAGAGTCTTGGAGTTAGCCCGGTCCTAGAAAGCCTTATTGTTATCCCGGTCCAGGAGAGATTTGCGGATAGTCCGGTCACAACACTCAGAGTTAGCCCGGTCGTGGCATAATGCAGTTAGCTCGGTCAAACCTAGCCATTCGTTAGCACGGCCTAAGCACACTATGGACTAGTATGGTTTGTACAGAAGAAACCAAAGTACACGTAGTGAAAGGAAGAACCGAGCTAGGTGGAGCTCAGTCTATTCTGCGGCTTTAGCACGGCCACGTTATCCCGGCCGTATTGACATCCAACCGAGGTAAAACCATCTCACTTGGTTTAGCAGTGAGGGGGTGTTGAAGGATAAACATTATCTTTCAGGAATGTGATTCCTGGGAGGACTCTACATGAAGGAGTAAGAGTCCTACTAGGATTGTGGCATACGGAACCTATAAAAGCTCATAACATCACCTATGGAGAGGTAACACAACTTTGATTCTCGAATACACAGAGCTTTTGTCTATTTGTCTATTTTGCTGACTTAGGCATCGGAGAGGTATCCGGCACACACCCGCCGGCTAGCTCACGTTTGTGTTTTCAGGGAGTAAAGTGATGCCGTACGGAGGAGCGCAGACTTGATCAACAGGATTATACGAGAATGTTTTATTTCTTTCCCGTACACATAACATTGAATGTAGAGAGGGATTGTCAAGTTACTTAATTCTCACGTTTTATCTAATTAACATGGGGCTATGAATATGGCTTGATTTTTATTTATTTATTTATTTAAATTTTTTTTTTTTTTGGGCTTAGAATGATGTACAATATTTGATAGTTTCCAAGTGTATAAACATGGAATCAAGTGTATCTGCTTTGGTCTAAGATATTGAGCTGTCATACTGGATGAAGAACCAGATTGACAAGCTCTCTTCTTCAATCTTTGCTGAAATTTTGATGATCCATGCACACACTATATATCAAACTGCTAAAGATCACTCAACAAAACATTAATAATAATTCCAAGTTTCATTTACTAGGTTGGATTTTCTAATACTAGTTTTAGACTATAACCATTGATTTTTCAAATGGAATGTTATCTATATGATATTTTAAATGGAAGGTGATATCTTGATTTGATTATACCATTCTATTGCAGTGTTCTCTATTCCTGTGACAGATTCCACATGATTGGATGATGAGGATTATAGTATGTGAGCGTGCGTGCGTGCACACACACTATCTCCACTAGGAACTGAACATTTTATAAAAATGATAACAATTAGCTAAATATTCAAGAACATAATTGACACTTGAAAGACGAGCTCCTCCATTCACTATTTGCCGGGGCATGCCATAGAGCGCGAAATCATAGATAACAACCTAATCCTTGAACTTTCCTCCAGCCTTGTAATGGATCCACAACAAACGACCAATCCATTTCACAATCTGAACCTTCTGAGTCTCCAAAAGGCAAGAAATGAAATGAATTTGGTGTTATTATCCAAAATCTCATAGCTAAAGCACTTTGTTCAATAGGATCAAATGCAAGATGTGCTACAATTTAACAAGTGTTCAATTATTGTTGTTTGGATAAAGACATTCAGCACCTCATTATCGTGTCCAAACAAATGTCAATTTTGTTTGGCAGCTCCAAGAGCTTGTTTCATTCGCTGCGCCATGCCCTGCAGAACAGTATTGTAAAAAGAAACCAAGCCCTCCTGTGTCTGTCCCTCTACTGGATTCATAACAAATGACCAAACAATTTCAGATCCTTCTCCTTCAGTGCTTTTAATAGGCAACAACTTCATTGTTGCCATGTAACACTCAAACCCAATGTTGCTGTCCACAAACTCATAGCTCAAGCACTGCCCAACCCGATCAATATCTACCAACTTCTCCAATGCCCATTTTGAAACTGTTTCTCCCGAACCAGTATCGGATGTGGAAGCACAGTACCGGATGCAACCTGGTTCACCTGAAGTGCCTTCAACTCCATAACAAGTGTCTACCACTGAGACCCACTTGTGGACGTTGAAGAAGTCCTCCAAGAAAGGCCATATTTGGTCTGCCTTGAAACCTATTAGCTTGGCACTAACCCTGCCTTCCCACTTCTTTTCAACTTCAGTGGCCATGAATGAATGTAAGTAAGCTATTTGTTGCCCAGCTTCTTCTAGTTATAGAACAACATGAGCACCGAGTTACCAAAACATCCTCATTTGTCCACAGGCAAAGAGAGCATCTTTTGAAACTGACATGGGAATCGTTGTGATTGTAGAGGGGTTTTGGCATTTTTCTTTTGTAGCATCTACAAATTGGCCGACCAGGGAAGGTGCTAAAACAAGAAGGATAGTGCAAAGCAAACAACTGCAAGATAAAATAGTAATACACAATTGCCATTTGGTAAACGATTACAGTTTACTGCACAACTGTCCGTTCCCCGACTTAATTTTTAACCTACTTTCTAGGGATTGGGAGAATGAATCTGAGATGAACAGGTTCAATACACAAAAGGGATTTCCCAATTCATACTCATAGGCACTGATTTTGTTATATAAAATGTGCCAAAGAATCTTTTATTTGCTGATAATAAAATAAAAAAAACCAATGTGTCAAAGAATCACTGAATATAACAACACAGACAACAATTATGAAAGCAAAATGAATTCCCAATTCAAACTCATATGCATTGAATCTACACTTATCAATGTTTATTATTCATTTTCAATAAATCTTCTTATTTAAACATCTTAAATCATAGACAAAATAACATTAAATGAATCTTTTTCAGTGCAAGTAACAAAAGAATACTTCATCCACTAACCTCCTAGAGTGAGGTGTAGGAGTCCTAGCTATTTGACCTAGCCCCATTAGTTATAAATTTTATGCCCTTATTCAACATAAGTTATATTTACAGAGAGTAGTCTTTCAAGTATTTTGATTTTTATTTAAAAAAGTTTAGAAACACATAAACCAAACATAGAGCCAAATACACAAAATATATGAATGGATAAAAGTTTACAAGATTGGGGTCCAATTATGGTATTGTAAAATCCTATACATCTAAGTATTTTCTATGTGCAATTCTATGTTTAGTTTTTGTGTTCTTTAACATATTTTTATTTTGAGATTGTTTTTTAGTTTTGGTACAAAAAGAGATTGTGACTAGGTATGGACAGATCAAAATAGGCGAATTGGGTGATTAAGATCTACGAACTGGATCTTGGAAGCAAGTGTTGTCTACTATACTATTTGTTGCCATAATCGTACCAACTTGACAAATCAACAAAAAAAAAAATACAAAACATAATCCAATGATTAAAAAATTAAAGTAAAATGACTTTAGGATTACACATTCGAAAATAACATATAAACCTCCATCATTAGATCTCCGTACCAAGATCATGAAACAGAAATACACAACTAGAAAACTTACTAAAATATATCTAATTAAAACAAACAAAAAAAAAGGTGATGTTTAAGTGAATAGCCTTGTATATGCCACTTTGAGAGAGCAAAACCTGCTTGCAAGACTCACTGATGAACATAACAAAAACTAGTACAACAACCACCAAATATGAGAAACAAGAACTTTAACAATGGCATCAATTACTTTCAATAGTAGCAAGAATAGCTTCCTCCATTCTTTGAGCCATGACTTGCAAACCTGACCCAATAAAACAATCCAAATCCTGTGGTTGCCACCCTTGTACTGGCTCAACCTCATAGCGCCACTCAATGTCACACCCCTGCTCCCCACGGGGCACCACTTTAACTGTCGACACATAAGAGTTGAACCCAACATTTCCATCTACTATGGAATAGCTAAAAGTCATATTTTTTGGATCGATGGATAGGAGTTTCTGCTTAGTCCAATTCACAATCTCATCACCACTGTTGACTGGTGTTCTAAAGCCAGAACAATAGCGCACGCAGCCCGGTTGGCCAGAGATGCCTTCAATAGGCAAGCAGGTGGTGAGAGTTGGAAACCACTTGTTTAGGCCAAAGAAATCTTCCAAGAGAGGCCATACTTGTTCTGCTTTGCTACCTTGTAGCTCCGCACAAGCCTTTCCTTCCCATTTTGGTTTCTTTTCATGGACCAATTGCTTAGAGGGATCCATGGGTTGGTCTAGCAATTACCAGATCAAGAATCAAAAAACTCTTTTGTTGTGTTTGCACAAGAGAAATAGGAAACTCTTGTGGGTTTATATAATAGCCATAAACCATGATTTAGGCATGCTACTAAACAATAGATTGCATGGAATTACTTTTGAATGATGAAGTACATGAATTTGTTATCCCAAGTAGGTAATTCAAGAGGGGTTAAATTGGGTTATTAAAAATGAATACACTATTTTTTTTTATATCAATTTAAATAATTGAATTTCAGCAAGCAATAGTAATAATAACAACAAAAGTAAAAAAGATAGGAAGAGAAAATTAAACACAGGGATTTATAGTGGTTCAATTTGCTGGGCCTACGTCCACTCCTCAAGGATCCTCCTCGAAAATTTCTTCACTATCAAACAAATTAATACACCACCAAGACTTCACCGAGCTTGTAGATTTTACACGTTTTACTCTTATCTGTTGAGTCTCACTCAACAATAAGGTGTCGTTTGGTAACACTTAGGTGTCGTTTGGTAACACTTACGTTTTCAGTTTTCTGTTTATATTTACAAAAATTTTAAAAACTCAAATAAAAACTTGTTTGATAAAATTTTTGATTTATAAATCAGTGGTCTCAGTTTATAAATTTGACCAAAAAATGAAAACACAAAAAATGTGTTTCCATTTTGAGTTTTCAGTTTTTTTTTTATCGAATCCACGTAGCTACCACCCGCCACCATTTTCTACCACCGTCTTCCGCCACCACCACATGCGGCCTGCCTTCACTTCTATCATTGCATCTCTTACCAATTCATAATGGCATTGTTAAAAAATGTCTCCAATTTGCGAGCCTTGGGAGTTCTTTTTAAGTCGGTTAGAAATAGAAGCCATGAAGTTTTTAGAAGAGACTCCTGAAAACACCTTACCATACCAAAGGCTAAGTTGTTTTGCTTCTTCCTTGTTACCTCTTTCCATGCGTTGTATACTTGATAACCCTCCAAGGTGGCCTTAACAGATAAATTATTGCCTGTATCTAGAAAATATTAAATGTCTTTTATATTATGAAATCTTAATATCAAGGACCTTAAAAAAAACCCTATTTTTTATTAAATACTATTAAAAAGTCATTAATAGTTAATTTTCAACGACAGTTTAAAAATTGTCACAAAAATATCACTAATTATAAGTTTTAGTAACAATTTAAAAAAATCGTCACAAAAAGTTACTAATTTAAAACTTTCAGTGACATTTTAAAAAATGTTACTAATTGTAAGTTTTAGCGACATTTTATGAAAACCGTGATAAAAAAAAGTCACTAATTGCCAATTTTTAGCGACATGTAAAAGATCAACACAAAAAAATTATTTTTAGCGACGATTTTACTAAGATTTATTTTCAATAGGATTTGACGATTTCACTATTAGCACCCACTTCTTTACTTTGGCTTTTTATACATTTTGTCAATTACCAAATGCGTTTGTAGTTTATGTTTTTCTAAAAATAAATAAAAAATAAACAAAAACCAGTTTATAAAATTTTTGTAAATATAAACTGAAAACGTAAACGTTACCAAACACACCCTAAATGTCTCAGCTTTACAGATTTTCTCTCACAAATCACTCAATAAGGATAAGAGGTATTTCATCCTTCTTTTACAACAATTTTTTTCTTTCTATAAAACACAGATATGAAAGTGAAAGAGCAGAGAGAATGAATAATATCTTAGAAAATTTTAAATCTGAAAATGAAGGTGCTGAGAGTGTAGCAGAAGAATGATGAAAGAATAAAGCTTGTAAGTGCAGATTTTTTTTTTTTTTTTAAATTCGTTATTTTTCGCCAAGCAAAATACTTATTTTATAGCCGAGAAATATATCCGTTAAAAGAGGGACTCCTCTTTTAACTTTTGCAACTCAAATCATGTGGAGACGGGCACACTACTACAACTTTTTCTCTTTCAAATTACTCCCTCCGTCCCAAAATAATGGTCCTTTTTGGGGAATCCAACTTTTTTTGGTACTACAATTATTGTATTTGAAAAAAGTTGATTTTCCAAAATTATCCTTTTGATAGTACATTTTTTGGGAATATCAATGTATAATTGTACTTTTTATGTTGTTTACTAATTTAAAAGAAGGGTAAAATAGGAAATTTATATTATTTTTGTACTTGATTTTTGAAGAGGGACTAATACTTTGGGACAATGAAAAATGGAATAAGGGACTAATATTTTGGGACGGAGGGAGTATAAGCCAAAAATAATTTGCATACGGAGACAGCCGCTACTAACGCAGAAGACAGAAGTGTCACGTGCTTCAGCACATGAATCAAATATTTCAAATGAATAATACTTTGGACCTTCAAAATTTTTGACTCCCTAGAATTCCCAATTGATTTGTGACCATTTATTATTTTTATTTATTTTCTTCTCTCTCCTCTCTCTCTCTCACAAAATGTGTGAGGGTGTAGGGGTTCTAGGAGTCTCTATCACCACGGATTTCAAAAAAAATAATACTTGAGACCTCTAAACTTTATGACTCCCGCAATCCCTAATTGATTTATGACTACTCATTAGTTATTTATTTATTTATGAAAAATGTTTGGTAGCTTGAATTTGTGTGGCCTGAATGACCCGAATGTCTTAAAATAATGCCGTTTTGAGACATTCGAGCCATTCGTACCATAAAAATTCAGGCTACCAAGCATTTGTTTTCCTCTCTCTCCCCTCTCTCTCTCACAAATGTGTGTGGGGGTGTGGGAGTCCTGGGGGTCCCTATCATAGCTGTTTTCAAAAGAATAATATTTGGGATCCCCAAAATTTATAACCCTCACAAACCCCAATTGATTTATGATCACTCATTATTTATTTATTTATTTATTTTGTTTTCTTCTCTCTCTCTCCACTCTCTCCCAAATGTGTGTGGGGGTGTGGGGTCCCGGAGGTCCATATCATAATTGTTTTCAAAAGAATAATACTTGGGACCCCAAAATTTATGACCCTCACAACCTTCAATTGATTTATGACCACTCATTATGTATTGGGTTAATTACAAATACACCCTCTGAAGTTTGCTTAAAATACAAATTGCCCTCTGTTGTTCGAAAAATTACAAATACTTCCCAGTCAAAATTTTTTATTTAACAAAATTAATTGAAAAAGTGAAATTTCTATCTGTTCACCTATACAATAATAAAATTATCTGAATTATTAATTGAAATAAAATTTTAACATTATAAAAAAACTGTTAATTAATTTGATGATTTATTAATAAAATGACCTATTTGTTATGAAATTAAAAACCTTAGGAGACATAATGTAATTTTTAAAATCACAGGAGGTAATTTATAATTTAAATAAATTTTAGGAGGTGTGTTTGTAATTTGTCCTTATTTATTTATTTGTTTTACCCACTCTCTCCCCCTCACTCTCACAAATGTGTGTGTAGGTGTGGAGGCCTTGAGGGTCCCTATCACAGTTGTTTTCAAAATAATAATACTTGAAACTCCCAAAATTTATAACCTCCATAACCTCCAATTAATTTATGACTACTTGTTATTTATTTATTTATTTAGGGCTATTTTGGAAAGTTGGCTTTTAGCCACTTTTTTTGGTTTGTAGCAAAAGTCAAAAGTTGACTTTTTTGTCTTTTTTTCCAATGGGGAAGTTGGTTTTTAGCCAATGGTAAAATTATAATTTTACCTTCATGGGTCAAAATGTGTTACATAGGTGAAGTTGTAAATATTTTAAATAAATGGGGGAAGTTTGGTCATTTTATTATGATTTGACATCATAAACAAACATTAATCAAAAAAAGTCAAAAGTCACTTTTTACCAACTTTCCAAATCATTTGTCTAAAAAAACTAAAAATTTAATTAAAAGTCAAAAAACTACTTTTTATCATCTTTCCAAAATAAGCCTTAGTGTTTTGTTTTCCTCTCTCCACTCTTTCACAAATGTGTGTGAGGTCTTGGCGTCCCTATGTTTTCAACAAAATAATAATACTTGGAATCTCAAAAATTTGACTCCCACAATCCCGAATTGATTTATAACCAATCATTATTTATTTATTTAGTTTTTTATTTACCTCTCTCCCCTCACTCTCTCACAAATGTGTGTGGGGATCTTGATGGTCCTATCATAACTATTTTCAAAAGAATAATAATTGAGACTCAAAATTTATAATTCCCGAAATCTTCAATTAATTTATAACTATTCATTATTTTTTTTTTTTTCTCTCTCTTTCTCTCCCCCTATCACAAATGTGTGCGGGGGGTGTGGGGGTCCTGAGCCCCTGTCACAGCTGTTTTCAAAAAGTTAGACACTGACTTGTCACATTATTTCAACCATGAGAAGTGAGAGAAACAGCAATGCTATGTCCTATTAAAAATGACGTAAAGTACCACCAATAAGTTGATATTTATTTTTTTTAAAATAAAAAATGAAAAACAAGGCACAAAAATATTATGATAGTGGGTTTCATCTACTGTCACATCATTAATGATAACACTAATTAATGCTCCCACTCATTTTTCGTAAAAGAAATTGCTTGGAAGTCACCTGAAAATAATTTTTTCAAACAATAAATAGTGAAAAAATCTATTAAAATCAAACTACACATGGAAAGGACTGTAAAATGATGTCATTGTTATCCAACTTGAAGATCTTATACAAGCATAAAGCCAAACAATCTCATAAAAGATGGAAAAAGTAAGCATGTGTTTGGTATGGGCTTTTTCAGGCTTTTTTGACTATTTTAATCACAAAAAATAAAATAGGCTATTTTAGCCATAACAAACAAAACATCACATCTAACCTATAATCATTACTTTCTTCTCTCACAAAAAAAGTTAAAAAAGTCAAAAAGCCAAAAAGCCTTTCCCAAATCAAACTTTTTAACCCAGGCTAAAATAGCCAAAAAAACTAAAAAGTCAAAAATCCAACCCACTTTCCAAACGGAGGCTAAAGAAAGAAATGAGAATGCCGTCAAAAGATGGCAACCCACCACCACATGGGCTTGTTGCCCTTGTTCCTCTTTATCATTAATAATAATATAATCAACATATGCAAGATGCTCAAAGACTCAATTAAATTCATATTGGTACACTACAATAACATCTATTTTAATATTTTGCGTCAAATAATTATATATTAAAAATTTATA